GCTGTGAACAGGGCTGTGGCTCACAGGGCACCACATGTGACTTCTGCAGTGTGACTGTGCCAGGGACAACACGTGCAACAGGCAGTTACTGTAACCTAGTTATTAATGTCTCCCTGTGCTTGTTTTCTTAAAAGCTGTGCTCCTTAATGGAGTCATCATTACATACTGCATTAGAGCTGCCCAAATTTAAGCAGGTTTTACCTGGCTGCATCTCTGCCTCGTTTGGAATACATCACTGCAGAATCAACATAATTAATGGTGCCGTTTACGCAGCATCTTTTCATGTACATCAAGAGGTCTTTTCATGTTCCTATTTAGAATCATGTCAAGAGACAAAAATGTTGTTGCAGGGGATAACTAATGTAATGACATCTAGAATGAATGTGTAGTTTGGTAAAATATAAATGTTTACAAACATTTTCAAGAAAAAAATCTCATTCAAGATCAGACTATTTGAAATCTGCAAGGTGATTCTGCTTAGTGATGTGCTCTTTTGCTCTTTTGGTTTATGTTTAGACTAATAATTATTCAAACAGGAAGAAAATTAGCCACTGAGGGGTGAGTGTATTAGTTGTGTTGTTCAAAACTGTACAAAAAAGGGGGGAAATGTATTAAGTGCTCGTTGTCATAATAGATGACAAAAATACTTGCTAAAATGCTTATTTGTTAATAAAGTTTTGCAGTAGTTTTGGGGGCAGCATGTCAGACACTGTGAGGGCCAACTGCTCCCAGAGGAACAGGGAGCTGGCAGCACAGTGTGGGAACGTGGCCATCAGGACAGGGCCCAGCAGCCAGAGCCATTCCCACCACCCCAGCCAGGAGCAGGGCAGCTCCCCGGGGACAGGGACGAGCTGGGGCCAGGCTGGGGTGTCAGCCTGTGGGTTGGCCCAGCCCAGCAGAGCACACGGCCAGGCAGGGCTGTGGGGCCCTGCATGGGCATTCCTTGGGCAAGGACTGATGTCCCTGAGGGCTGACATGGGGTCCTGGGCTGTGGGCACCTGGGGGGACCCCTCGGAGCATATGAATTGCTCTAGAGGGCCTGACTTATTTCAAATCCAAGTCTATCATGCGTATAGTAGAGGTAAATGGGGTATTGAGAGAGAAGTTTCAGTCTCATAAGTGAAAGAATAAAATTATTAAAAACACCTAAGTATTTAGAAATGTACTATATTTATAGCAGATTACACATTAATACCCAGACCTATGACAAGGTGTAGACATTACAGTGCCCAAAACTGCTGTCCTAACTTTTAAGCACCTGACTTCATATATGGAGTAAAGGGTTCTAGAAACAGGCACAAGAAGTGTCAAACTATCAAGGGGCCAACCTTAGTAAGCCATGAAAGAATGCCAAAAGGAGGTTTGTGTCTGAAATCCTGCATCTGTTCTAATTTGGCTAATGACAAAAGAACAGGAGTCCCTAGCTCTGGCTCTTCAGCAGTTAAGTCCCTGGAGGCAGGACACTGGTTTGCTTTCTTCTAGAGACAGTAGTGGCACTGCCCTTTGATACCTTCATGGGTAGATTAGCCATCCAAGTCAGAAAAACGTTAGGTATGTTCCTTGTCCTGCAGGCACTCACATATCCAGCTGTTATCGACACTTCCAGGTGATGCTTAGTTGGCAGCATATCAGACAAAAGTTAGACAGCATCTCTCCTCTGATCATTATGTTTAGTCCTATTTCCTGCCAAATCATACTGGCACTGAATCACTGAAATCCAGGTGCATTGTACTTAGCATTTGTTGATCTGGCTCTGTTATGGAAAATTAAAGGTGTCATTTGTGAATTTCTTCAACAATCCTCAAGAGGAGATTGAGAGACATTTGGTTCTGGGTGGAAATACAAGTTTTCTTAATGCAGAAAATTGTAACAGGGAAATCTAAGCCTTCATAAGCCAGAAAAATTGTTTGGATTTTTCAGGCTGAGACAAACTCAAGATGCATGTTACAGTGCTGCAATGTGATATAGTGAGTGTTGGCCTGTTTAATGCCGGGGAGTAACCATAAATCATTGGGGTTTTAATGTTGGGGGGTAATTTTAAGAAAGTAGTCAAAGTTTTTGACATAGGAAAGCATTATGTAAGACTTTCAATTCTAGTAATACTTCTTCCTTGTATGTGTAGTGAGTTATATAAGAAAAAATAGTAGTAATGGTCCTTTCTTTTCTAAAGGATCCATAAAAGTTCATTGGGATAGACTGAACATGTTGTTACTTGTGCCAAAATTGGTTCCTGCTCTTTCAAACTAAAACCAAGGCAGAAACAGCAAGAGAATAGGAAAATTATAGCAAAGTAGAAAATCACTCCATCCACTGCTCAAGGTTTTCCTTGCATTGTCAGTTCTGACAAGAGACACAGCATGGGCTGTAAATCCTAGCAAACTTATAGTACTATCAGAGCATAGTACTGTCGTTGTCCTTAACTGCTTTTCTGTCTGTAGCTGAAAGCAGTGATGTCAGACTTAGTAAACAGAACAGAAAAGAAAAATAATAAGAAGAGAATTGATGATTATATGAGTGCAGGGAATGGGAATAGCAGCAACAACACCACATTGCTGCTGCCAGAGACTGTTCCTGATTTAGTAAGGACCAGGTCTTGATGCTGTCTAGGCACCTCTGTATCATCTCCTGTCTGAAACAGTGTCTCAGGGCTTCCAGGGCCTAATAATGTCTGAATAGATACTCAGTGCATCCCTAGGAACCAGTGCGTACCTTTCTCCCTTTTTAATGTGTCAATATCAATTTTTTAGTTCTGCGTCTGCTGCCAATATCAAGTTTTTAATTCCTTCTGTCTTCTTCAGCAAAATGGATGGTGGTTGAAGAAACCAACTTGTCATTTCACTCACAGAGTATGACAACACATTTGGCATGGTTTTGTCATGTTTACCATGTGTAGTACCTGTGACTTTCTTATTTATATTAATGCATCCTTTCAATCTCTAACTTTTGCTTACTTTCCATGTTAGGAGACAGGCTTGGACCTCTCTGATCTTAAACAACTGACACTACAAATTCCTGCACAATATTTCTCAAGAGATTAAAGTATTCTCTTTCTCTTAATTATTGAACAAATTATTGTATGCAGACATGGCTCCAGTAAAGCCAGAATTTTCTGTGAGAGTTTCCCAGTTCAAGTATCCACAGAGAAAAGTTCTAATTTTAAAAAATATATGTTAATTTATTCATTCAAATTTGTATTACTATTATTACCATAATTTATTTGCTCCACGTCCTGGAGTCTATTGACTGGCAGATGGGATTTGCATCCAGAGTCTTCATCCTTGAATAAATATGGATGACTTTTAGCCTCCAGAGAAATGGGTTAAACTTTTGCATCTCATTGTTGGTACTATAGAATCACTCCACACATACATATATCTCTCTTGCCTCATACGTCAGTATTTGGGTTCTAGAGGTCATAGGTATAACAAGCCTTTGTCTGGAAAAGTAAGTGTATTCTTAAGATCCCTATGAGCCCAAGGAGGTGCAGAGGGAACAGCACACAAAGTCATGCTCCAAGAACATGGCAAACCTAGGCTGCTGCTACTTTCAGGGGCTTTGCAGGTAGTGTAAAAGAAGCTGTTCCTGCGAGCCCCGTGAGTAACACAGTGACTTTTATGTATGATGGGACTCCTCTATTTTTTTGGGACCTTCAGCTTTCAACCCCTGCACATTCTCCCTACACAGATTGGGATAAGCAGAGGTGATATACCTTTCTTCCAAGACAGTGCATTATCAAATTAATTTTAGTATGCTGATCCATTTCACTGGGAAGGGCCAAAAAGTCTCAACAGGTAACTTACTCAAAATGAGAATTCTCAGTATTTTAAAACAACTGTTAAGATTAATTTTCATAAAATATTCTGAGTTAGCAGGGACCCACAAGGATCCTGGTCCAAATTCCAGCCTTGCACAGAACAACCCCACAACTGTACTTTGTTTCAAAACTGGTATACTGCATGGCTTAGGTTTTACCTCACCCCTCTGCTTTAGGATTTCAATCTTCAGTACCACCCCTCATAGCCCTGATATTTACACTGAAGTGAACTTCTCTCTTTAGTCCCTTCTTTTTCCTTTCTCCCCGAAATCCTCTACTTCCTCTGCAATTTTACCGTGTGGATCTTTATATATCTGAGTACTGTTAGCATAAATGAAGGTGTAATTCCTTTACATCTCTACACTGAGATCTTATGCCGACAAGGAGAAAGACCTAGCAGTGTGTATTACATTTCTTGTCCTGTAAAGAGAACATGCTCCACTTGAAAAAGAACAGATACCTAACATGCAACCTGAGCACTCCACAACAGTCTCAGTAACTGAACCTGAACCAGGTCAGAACATGAGGTCACTTCTCTGCAATGTATGCTGGTTTTCCTACTCTTTATTTTTCCCTATACTGGCACAAAGCCAGTATATGGAGAGCCTGTGAAAAGCTGTGCATCACTAAATAATAATTTTTAAATTAGCATATTCTATATCATATTTCTTTGCAGAAAGAGTCATTATATTTATCTGAGTGCTGATTTAAATAGCCATATGCAAATTTAGTTAAGTAATTTCACCCCATTTGTTTTCCTGGTGAAGCATCAGTACATACAATATCAACATAATGGATCTGGCATTCTCAAAGTCTCTTTGTAAACTGCTAATATGATAATTCATAATTTGGGAGGGGAGAGAAGCAGCATTAAAAATATAGGCCACCGTATTTGAGCAAAATAAAAACAATCCTAAAGCAAAACTGTATTTTTTACATGTAAAACATAGAATCATAGAATCAACCAGGTTGGAAGAGACCTTAAAGATCATCAAGTCCAACCCTAGCGTCATTACTAGACCACGGCACTAAGTCCCATATCCAGTCTCATCTTGAAAACCTCCAGGGATGGTGAATCCACCACATCCCTGAGCAGCCCATTCCAATGCCTGATCACTCTCTCTGTAAAAAATCTCTTCCTAATATCCAACCAACTTTGCCTTTTATACAATATTTGATATTTCAGAAAGCACACTACCCACGTTGGCAGAGGATGATTTTCCAGATATACCAGACAAGGAAACAATTAAAAGGAAGATTGAACTTTTCATGCATGATTGGAAAATGGTGGAATCAGAAATCCAGAAGTCACCTCTAGTTCAGGTGGTGGTGTTAGAGATTGCTGAGCAAACTCCAGAAAGTCTGCTTACTCAAACTGTGCTGGCCATGGAAGGTAGGTAGTCCTTTTATGTGATTGGCACTTAACCTATCAAGAAAAATTTTTCAGAGCTTATATGGTAACCACATTGCAGGAGTAGGTTATACTCAGTTCAATATTACCAACCTCAAGTGGGTCATGCTGTGTTCTGTGGGTCAGCTGAATGGCTCCATAGCAGCCTTTAAGACATAGGGAGAGTGGGGAATAGATATATTTGGCTATGGAAGTATGTATATAATAGCTTCCTAAACATTCACAGCACATTTCCCCAGTTACTTGCTCTATCCATTCACATCAGGATACTGGCTGGAGAAATGGACAGGTAACAAAGAATCACAGAATCAGGTTGGAAGGGACCACAGTGGGTCATCTGGTCCAACCTCCTTACTCAAGCAGGGTCTCAGAATTGCATCCAGATGGTTCTTGAATACCTCCAGTGAGGAACAATCCGTGACCTCTCTGGGCAACCTGTTCCAGTGCTCAGTGGCTGCACAGGAAAGAAGTTCTTCCTCATATTCAGCTGGAACTTCCTGTGCATCAGTTTTTGCTGTTACCTCTTGTTTTATTGGTTTCCACCACTGAGCAGGGTGTGGCTCCATCACCTTGGCACTTTCCATTCATATACTTGAACACATTAATGAGGTCCCTCTCAGTCATCTCTTCTTGAGACTGAACAGCCCCAACTCCCTCAGCCTTTCCTCATCAGTGAGGTGCTCCAGTCCCTTCATCATCTTCATTGACCTCCACTGGACCTGCTCCAGGAGCTCCATGTCCTTCTTGTCCTGAGGAGCTCAGAACTGGGCACAATACATGAGACAAAGGTTCACTAATGTACAATATTCATACCTACCCACATGCATAAACTGTTTCAGGACTGAATTTTACACTGATTTTTTTTTTTCATTGATATTTTTGGGTAAATTAAATTTCCTCACTCTTGCACTCAAATCTCTAAGAATTTTGAGTACTGGATAAATAATAATAATACTACATTTTCCCTATCATGACTACAATGCAAGTGTTTTATTAACCAAAGCATCTATTGTGCTGGCTTTATAATCAAGTAAAATTTGACTGATGTCAACCCTGTTGCCAAAATAATGGCACTATCTGCATGTGTTTGTGTAATACAGCTGTAATAAAGTTCACATCGAAAACCCTCATTTACTTCAAACAAAAAAGAAATAGCAGAATTTCCATTTTTGAAGAAGGCAATATATTTACTACATCTGGGGAGAACATTTTGCTCTACAAGTAGAAGAAATGCAATATGCAGTTAGCATGATTTCTTTTCACATATGCACTTGCTTTTAAGGACAAAGAGAATATATTCTGGCATAGCCAAATGAGAAATGCTGAAACATAAAAAAATTAACCTTTTCAGAACCTTTTAAATATCACGGTTGGGAATTATCTGCTGAAGACTTAGAGGAGGAAGCAGAAGATCTGAGTGCTGAAAAGGAAGATGAAGAAGAAGAAGAAGAAGAAGAAGAAGAAGAAAAAGAAGAAGAAGAAGAAGAAGAAGAAGCTGAGGAAGAGGAAGAGGAAAGTGAAAGTGAAGAAGTAAGCATGCTGGCTTTATCTGTTTATGCTTTTATTTTAATTCATTTATTTTCAGTTTGAAAAGAACCCCAGAGAAGTCAGGTTTGGCACCTGATTTTGTATGGTCCAGTTTCAGCCTTCTCAGAGAATAAATATTAGCATGTGCTTCAAGAATACTTCCATTATATTTCTGTGTTTTGGCTGATAGGAGTTTTACTGCAGCTTTTTGTACCTTAAACACCCTCGTGCTAATAGAGAGAATGAATGAACACAGTTTTGCCAGATGGCAAAGAAACAAACATGAACTTTGATTTCTGTCAACTAAGGATGATTCTGTGAGCCACCATGTAAACATCAGAAGGTACAGAATCCTAATGTGCAATCCCTGGTTTCATCTCAGCTATGGATAATTTTCACACACTCACTTTAATGAAATTCAAGGTCTAGCTTTGCCTTTCTTTTATTTCCATCCTATATTGGAAGATTCTTATCCCCAGATTTAACAGTTCAGAATATCCATACATTGTATCAGAGCAGGATTGAATAGATATTTCAGAAATTAATTTTATTGGATGAGCAATCTGACTGCATCACACATCAGCTTCCACTGTCTTTTCTGGAGAGGTCTACATTTAGAAGCAACACAAAATAAGTTTCAAGAACACAGTAGGAAAAGATTTTATCATAGCCTGATTTTGGTCTTCAACAGCTAAACTGTTATTATAATTCTGATATTGTAATTTCAGATTTAAAATGGGAGTTCTTTTCTCAGTCATTCTCTTGGACAGTTTGTTTTCTGACTTAGAATGTAAAAAGCGTCTCATAGCCTAATTTTCAGCTCACAAACTATTACACCATCCTCACTCAGTCCTCAGTTAACATATTTGGCATTACTTAATCTGATCTACTTAATCTAAGTAAACTACTGAATTCAAATAGGTTTTGAAAATTTTCCTATTTTCAGGATGAAGAAAGAACTAAGGAAGCAAAAAGGCATATGGGAGACACAAAACACTTTTGTCCAGTCAGGCTGAAAGAGGACTTCATCCTCCACCCAGGACTCCAGGAACATGCAGCTAAATATAAGGAAAAGATTTATTACTTTTCAACTTCTGAGTACAGAGATAAATTTTTGCAGAACCCTGAAGAGTATGTGGCTCACAATGAACCAATACAGGTGAGAATACTAAAAGTTATTTAAAGCAGATAATAGAAGATTAAAATTACTATTTTCCATTCCCACTTAGGATTGTTTACTATTGCTGATTTTTTTTCCTCTAGTAACAGTATATTAGGCAAGTACTTTAAGCAAGTAAAACACATGGTTTCCCTTGTGACTTTTTAGTGTAGACTTAAATTAACACATTGAATTAATGATGCAAATAAAGCAGAAAAGAGGGGAAGATTATAAAGGCTTAGAACAGGTTGCCCAGGGACATGGTGACTGTCCCAACCCTGGCAGTGTTCAAAGCCAGGTTGGATGAAGCCTTGAGCAACCTGATCTAGTGAGGAGGTGTCCCTGCCCAGGGCAGGGGGGATTGGGATTGCATGATCTGTAAGGTCCATTCCAACCCCTAAATTCTATGATTCTATGATTCTGGGATAATCTTATAATGTGATTAACAAGTTACACATATTGGGGGTTTGTTTTTGCAAGCTGAAGAAGAATAGAAGAAGAGAAGATTTGCCAGAATTGTCTAACAAAGTTTCATTTTTACCTGCTTACATCAGTTGTCATAATATCTTTGCTAAGTATTTCCAGAGAACAAGTAGTCTGTTTGGAATAGCAGTAGAAAATCTGGGAAAATTAAAATGCACAATTAAGTGACAGTTTTTGATGCAATTTTTGGAAGTGAAAAGCAGTAAGGGGTGCACTGTACACTCCAAAATGTTACAGAATATTCCATTCTTTTTTTATAGGCTCCTCCTTTACGGGTGTGTTTACTTGGGGCTCATGGAGCAGGTAAAACTACTTGTGCACGACAGATAGCAGACAAATTAGGCATTTTCCATATTCAGTTTGAAGATTATCTACAGGAACTGATCCTACCCAAAACTAAAAAGAAAGTTGGGCCCCATTTGGATGAAGAACATGAAGAAGATGATGATAAAATAGCAATTCTATCACAGGAACTGGAAGACTCTTCTCAGATCATGACTAAAACTGAGCGTGAAAAAAACAAGCAGGTAATAAAAAAACCCAAGCAGGTAACTCCCTGACAGGAGGTTGGAGTCAGGTGGGGGTTGGTCTCTTCTCCCAGACAACCAGCAGCAGGACAAGAGGGCACAGACTCAAGCTCTGCCAGGGGAGGGTTAGGTTGGATATTAGGAAGAGATTTTTCACAGAGAGAGTGATGAGGCATTGGAATGTGCTGCCCGGGGAGGTGGTGGATTCACCATCCCTGGAGGTTTTCAAGCTGAGACTGGATGTGGCACTTAGTGCCATGGTCTAGTAACCACAGTAGGGTTGGACTCGATGATCTTAAAGGTCTCTTCCAACCCAGCTGAGTCTATGATTCTATGATTCTATGAAAAATAATGAACCTTTTTAATGTCCATATGCAAAATAACAACTTTCAGGCCAGAATAGGAATTTCCTATAAAATTGTAAAAATTAAAATAATTATAAAAATATGTTCAATTATTTACTTGATGAAATTTGGAAATAATAGTTCTTTGTAATATTTTCTGATGAATGCTACAAATGTGCTTCAAAACATTTCCAAGATTTATATATAGGGTTTTTTATAACTGGTAGAGATGGATGCGAAAACAGGCTAATGGAAGACCAACTGAGTGGGAAAAAATGAAGGTCAGAATAAGAACAGGAAGGTATAATTTCCTTTGAGTATCTATAAAATGCAGGTTCAGTCAAGTGCATGTGTTCCAATTGCACAGCATTTAAATATGTTCACCATCTATGCTCTCTGCGCTCTCTTGGAGCCAAAGAATGGAATGACTCTACCAGCCCTTCAGTCTGTCCATCCCTTGTCCAAAAATCAGAAATATTTCAGTGTACATAACAGGGTGAGGTTGGATTTTGTTAATGCAGGAGGTTTTGTGACCTGGATTGTAGTGTTGTCTTTGTCTAGTGGCCACAGAATTTCAAACTAGGGAAAAAATCCTCTTCGATAGGATAAAATATGTCTTGTAGCTAAAAAACTCTTTTTCAAAGAACTGGATAGTCATGATACTGGTAAAATAAATAATGAGTTATAATTTGCAGACAATCAGATTGAATACTGGCTCAAAATCATTATAAATATACATTTTAAACCCCATCTCTTACAGGGTGTAATGTCCCTGAAGAACACTTACATAAATGTTTATTAGGGGAGAGTGGTTTCTTTTATGAGGCAGTGATATATTGGGGGAAAAGAAATCCACAAGGTTTTCATGTAAATTAATTCTTCTTTAGGCAGCAATGGATATGATAAAAGCCTTTATTGTGTGGAGAAGTCTCAACACAAGTACACAGCATATAAATCTTTCCAAAAATGTGTAGTACAAAGAAACTGAAAATCTGCCTCCTAGACAATAGAAATAAGGATTTATCCTACTCTCAAAGCTTCAGGAAGAAATAAGCTTCACATTTTTAGAGCCTTTTTTTTTTGGTGTGTGCTCCTGATACTTGCCATGTTCCATCAAGTTCCTAGTTATCAAAGATCTTCAAAGACTTCCTACTATAAGATTTAAGGAAGCATGCAGCAGAGGAAGCAGGCTGCAGGGAGGAGGCATACAGAAACTCAGGCACAGTATCAGGGAAACAAGCATGAGTGAAGGATCTGAAGGGTAGCAAGAGGAATTTCTGCAGAACAAAATATGAGTCTGCCACTGAGTGGGGCAGGTGACCTTTTGATGAAAGGTTCTGAAAATGCTGAAATGCTCAATGCCTTGTTTACTATGGTCTTTGCAAGCACAGTCTAGTCCGTGGCCTTCTAGGTCTCTGTGTCTTCAAGGAAAGCATGGGTAGAGTGGTGCTACCCACAGCAGAACAGGCCCAAATATGGGATCGCTTATGTAAACGGGACATTTACAAGTCAATGGAGAACATTCATAGGTGCTGAGGAAGATGCCAAAGCTGCATTCAAGGCCACTCTCTAGTGTCCTGAAAAGTGGGGGAGGTCCCTGATAACTGGGAGGTAGTGTTCTGATGAAATACAAGAGAAGGTAATATTGGAAGCAAATGCTTCAACACAGATGGAGCACAGATCAAAACCAGAGATGTCAGAACAAAACTTCAGGGTTTTACCAATTAAATATAAGAGGAGGTTCTTTTGGCAAGTCAGTTTACAACTTGGTCATCACAGCAAAAAATATGGCAAGTGTTCCTGGCACTGGTGGTTATGTCTGGCTCTCACTCAGCTTTATTGTTTTGGCGTCAATACTTGTCTTACACTAAGGCACTTCTGTTAGTATTTTTTCCTTGTCATCTTTATATCTGTTGGTAACCAATCTTTTGCATTAGTACTTTTTTTTCATACTTCTTGTAAAGTGCTTTATCTGATGGCATGACCTAAGCACATCTGATGCAATTTCAGTTCAGTTTAGAAATCCATTGCACAAAACTCTAGAGGATAATTTCCAAGGCTGTGAACTCCCCAAGCATTTCTCTGAATATGACTATTACCAGACTGTCTGACTATCCTGTTCTTCACTGACCCACCACCTCTCCAAAATTTCATTTAATTCCATTTGTATCATTCTCTTTCACTTTGGCACAAGACACTAGAAGTGTTATCTATCAAAGCTTAAGGTAAAGGTCAGCTATAATACTCAAAGCAAAACCACTAAAGGCAAGCAAAACATACCATGCAGTCTGGGAAGTTTAGCAAAAAAGATATCATCCTGGTTGTTTTAGCATGTGTCAGCCAAAGCCTTTACAGCATTAACTCGAGCTCTGCCAGGGGAGGTTTAGGTTGGATATTAGGAAGAGATTTTTTACAGAGAGAATGATCAGGCATTGGAATGTGCTGCCTGAGGAGGTGGTGGATTCACTGTCCCTGGAGGTTTTCAGGACGAGACTGGATGTGGCACTTGGTGCCATGGGCTAGTAACCATGGCTGGACTTGATGATCTTGGAGGTCCTTTCCAACCCAATTGACTCTATAATTCTATGATTCTATGACAGGTCTGCGGTGCAGCCTTGTCCTTCCACTCACTGTTGCGTGGGGTGTTCTCTCTTCTGTACCTGGAATATACATCTTGCTCTTTTCTTTTATCAGATACAAATGCAGTTCCAACAGCTTACTGGCAGTGGTGATGTCAGTGACACATTTTGTAATGCATTTTACTGTTTTCTCCCACTTCACATGTTTCTTTCAAGATGTCTCTGTGTTCCAGGTCTGGCTACCACTTTGTCTTCTTAGGTATCTGATGTCATACTAACACCTTTTAATATATGTGCTGTATCAGGCACTCGAGAAAATCTTACTCACATATGCACTACATTAGACCTGTGAATTCTAGCATGTTCTCAAGTTCATTTGGCTATGTTATCAGAATAGATGTCAGGCACAGGAATTCCTATTCTGACCTACCCTTGCAGCATGCAGCTCCCCACCATCATTTTGAGAGTTCCTGAATCACTTTGCATCCTTTTGTTAAAAAGCATTATTCTTTTATTTTTTAATAGGTTCTACTAACAAATTTTTGAGCAATTTGGGTTCATATGACTACTACATGAGGGAAGGACAGCAAAGCTCTGTAATGAATTCATAACAGAATTTCAGAGGACAACTTAAATCCATTTGCAGGGAGGGACAGGAGAACACCTCCTGCACATCAAGTTTTCTCTCCAAGCACCTTTGGTGCATGTTTGATGGCCACTGACATTTCAAAACCAGATTCTTTTGGTGGTGTATACCTAGTCCTCTTAAACACATATAGATGACTTTTTACAAACGAGACCTTTATAAGATAGGCAGAAAAAGTACTGAACTCTTTACAAGGATCCCAGATACATTCATCTTGCAAACTTTGCCATTCTCTTATCACAAAAAACCCCCAATCAACTAACTATAAAATAATGTTCTCTTCTGTGAATATTACCCTGAAAAAAACCCACAGCAGGTCAGGAACAGTGATATTTTCTGACTTCTAATGTTGTCTTTTATCCAGTATGCTTGTAAAAACATGTATTTTGATATTGTGACTTATGTTAACTAATCCAGAACCACCAATCCATACCCTCTTTTCATTCTATTTTACTGCAATCTCAGTGCATCCTCAGCCATATCAACTTTACAGCGTTACATATCCTGAAATATTCTATTCAGTGTAACACATTCTATTACATATTCTGGAAACAACAACAGATTTTCACAAGAATTTTAACAGCTAGATTGGGTGTTTGAATGCTCTGCATTTGGCTGGTTATTAATACTATTATTATTCTGTAGAACGATGCTGTCTGTCTGATGTCTGTTCCTATACCAAATAACCTTACATATCCTTCTTTAACATATTGCTAGCTGCATCAAAAAATAAAAATTACTTTTAAAAAGTGCAAAAACATTCTGATGTAGTGCAGACGTCTTCCAGCATGAGAATATGTATGGCTAAGTGGAAAACTTCTTGTAGGCAATTAGGAGAAGCTGTGATAATTTGGGTTTCTATTCCTCTGAATTGAGCATATGCATAATTAAATACTTAACAGTTCTGCTCGGTTTTAGGTTTCATTAAAACTTATACAGCAGCAATTGCCCTAATTTTAGAGAATTACCTAAAATATATAAGGTAGTACAGTGAAGTGTGGCACATGAGTCTGTTTCTGCTGGTATACCTTAAATGAAGGCAGTACCTTACTATAGTCAAAAACCAGTACATGTGTCAACTAGATCTTTCTTTCTGGTTGATTGGTTGGTTGGTTAGTTGGTTGGTGGGTTGGTTAGTTGGTTGGTTGGTTGGTTGATTGGTTGGTTGGTTAGGGACTTTGAGGGGGGGGGGTTGGGGAGTGTTTTTTTTCATTTTTTGGTGGATTTTCTTTACATAAAGGAAGTGGTGTTAACTGAAGAGGAAGAGGCAATAAAAGCAAATCTAATACATAACAAGGCCCTGCCTCCAGAAGTCCTTGACAACATTGTTCCTGACTGGTGGAAGAAAGAGCCTTTCCGGTAACTGTAATTAGATTCTCCTCTCTTTGATTAATCTAAGGAATGATGTCACCTATTGTGTCCACAATTGCAAATAACTATTGCAGAGATTATTTAAATTCTCTTGTACTTCTTATGAGTTAAGACCTACCTCTCAGTCTTGGTTTTGTTGTTCTGTTTTGACTGATATATTAACAGTAATATGTCTCATGTACTGTACACAGCACTAGACAAAATACTTAGCACACCTGAATGGGATTAAAAGTCCTAAATAGCTCAGTAGTTTTTGTGTGCTTACAGGATAGATATGTAAACAAACCTTTTTCTGTTTTCATGTCATTTTTGTCCTGTCAGACCACAGACAGGGGACAACATTCTCTAAGCAGTGTGAAAAACAGTGAGATCAATTTTAGGAAAAAAAAAAAATGCACCAAGACAAAAAATTACCCAGTATTACGCATAGTGTTGTGATATTATATTGTGTTATATCACATTACATTGAACTATAGTATACTCTTCTTTCCCACAGCATCCAGGGCTACTTGTTCTTCCCTCCACTCCCACTCCTTCTACCTTCTTTGGTTTTACAATGTATCCTATTAAGGTCTAAAGTAATAAAAATAAATATTAACTTTTTATTAACACAACATTCAGCTTTACAGAACTACTCATCCAATTTGAACTTGTAAGAGCTCCAACAAGCCACAGAGCTTTCCAGGAATATCTGACTTGTTTTTGATATCTGCAGGAAGGGAGATGTAGGTCATGCTGTGACAAAACTCTCTTGCTATACTAGACAAGAAATTGTCAGGCATTTCTGAATCATAAATTTTCAGGCATAAGCTTTCAGTGGCAGTTGTTACCAAAATGGAGACCTCATATCACCTTCCAGTATCTGAAGGGGCTACAGGGAAGCCAGAGAGGGACTCTTTGTTAGGAGCTGCAGTGACAGGACAAGGGGCAATGGGTACAAGTTGAAAGAGGGGAAATTTAGGTTAGATATTAGGAAAAGGTTTTTCACTGTGAGAGTGGTGAGACACTGGCACAGGTTGCCCAGGGAGGCTGTGGATGCCCCAACCCTGGCAGTGTTCACAGCCAGGTTGGATGAAGCCTTGAGCAACCTGCTCTGGTGGAAGGTGTCCCTGCCCATGGCAGGGGGTTTGGGATTAGATGATCTGTAAGGTCCATTCCAACTCTTGAAATTCTATGATTCTATGAAAATAATGTTTGTGACACCTTCTATTTTTCTGAGAGCAGTGCCTAAGAATTACTGTGTTTAGAGTCACACAAGCAAGTCTGAGGACACAATTTATCTGGAGTTTTTAAAAGTCTTTTTAAAATACTTAATCTCTGCACATTAAAACCTCAGAAGAAATGAATTTTTAAGTACACTAACTGAAACATAGTGAAATATCAGTTTGACATTGTGAAAAGATAGTGGCTGAAAAGATTTTTTAAAAATTACTCTTTAACATATACTTTTAATATGGGAATTAATATTTTTTTCAAAATAATAACATGTTCACTGTGTGGCACTTTAAACTACAGTGTGTAATGATAAATATCTTCTTTTTCCAATTAGGTCCACAGGCTTTATACTGGATGGTTTCCCCCGTACTGAAGATGAAGCCAAATATTTGTCAGAACGAGGACTCTGTCCTGACGTTTCAGTTTATATTCAAGTAGAAGAAACTGACATTGTCGACCGTCTTTTTCCTCCACGTCTGAAAAAATGGCAAGACAGACAGTACAAAAAAATGGAAAATAAAAAGAAGCTAAAGGACTTGAAAACAAAAATAAGGGTAAGTTTTCAGTCCTACATCTTTTTTTGTAACTTCAGCAGCATAGGTCTGAACAGATTCTAAAATGCCCAAAGCCATGAAGAGCTCATGGGGAAACAGATACAGGAGCCAGGAGACACAGTCCTACACATTCACAGCATTCCTAGATTTTTCTATAGGAACCAAGAGTAATTCAGGGCTCCTTTCCTCCTCTGTGCAAGTAATTGATGCAGGAGTTTAGGCATCTTGCAGCCTAAGAAAAGTAGCTGTGCTACCAGACGAAGGGCAGTCTGAGAGAATGCCAGACATCTGGAAAGTCCTGGACAAAGGGCAACTAGATGGAGGGAGTGAATATGGCCATAAAAAAACTCAAATACACATCTCATGCCCTGTACTGTTGTTGCATCCCAAATTCCCATTGTGCTGTTGCGTTGCTCAGCTGTCCCAGGGGCTGACTTCACAGCTGCTGTGTGGGGTGTGTTGTGTTTCCAGCCACGATACTCTGCACAGAAATGCAGTAGGTCCAAGCCACGTTCTCAGTGCTGTTGCAGCTGCACAGTCTCACATTAAAACAAAGCTGTGCCTACTACTGAAAAGGTTACAAATCATTTGAAGCAACCTGAAACCTTTATGTAGACATTTACAGTCAGCACATGTAATATATTCAAGGTTCCTAACCTTCTATGAAATTGAGATAAAGTACTTCACAGGTATCATCAGAATAGGTCTGATCATAAGTTCCTCCAGAGCAGCTGACACAAAGGAAGTTAGTACAATGAAATTTGGGACAAGGTTTATACAATACCATTAGCATCCCTAAACAGCCAAAGGGAACAGCACACATTTAACACATGCTCAATCACCACTTTGCCAAATGGCAACCACTTGTAAGTTTAGAAACTCTGTAGTTTGCCAATAAAAATATTATTATAATGTTTTCAGTGTGGCAAGAATCACAGTCTTTTCCCCTGTGCTGGTTTGAGCTGAAGTAGAGTTAACTTTCTTCACAGAGGCTAGTATGGGGCTATGTTTGGGTTTTGTGCAGAACACAGAGTTGATAATGCAGAGATGTTTTTGTTATTGCTGAGCAGAGTTTACACAGAGCCAAGGCCTTTGCTGCTTTCCATAATGCCATACTGGCAAGGAAGTTGGGGGTGCATGGGAGATTAGGAGGAGACACAGCTGGGACAGGTGACCCAAACTGACCAAAGGGATATTCCATACCATGTGACATCATGCTCAGTATATAAGGTGGGAGGAAGAAGGAGGAAGGGGGGACATCTGGAGTGATGGTGTTTGTCTTCCCAAGGAACCGTTACGCGTGATGGGCCCTGCTCTCCTGGAGATGGCTGAACACCTCCTGTCTGTGGGAAGCAGTGAATTAATTCCTTGTTTTGCTTTGCTTGTGTGTGCAGCTTTTGCTTTCTCTACTAAACTGTCTTTATCTCAACCCATGAACTTTTGTAGCTTTTACCCTTCTGATTCGCTCCCCCATCCTGTTGGTTGGGGAGTGAGTGAGTGGCTGTGTGGTTCTTGGCTGCTGGCTGAGGTTAAACCACGACATCCCCCCTCTAATCTCAATCTCAGAAGTTGCCAAATTAGTTTCACTAAAACTTACTTACATGTTTGCCTAGTGGAGAGGTGTATCTGATCTGCAAAATTTCAGGCTGCACAGGTAGCATTTTTTAACATTAGAAGCAACTGGAAACAGAATTTTAAGGTGGAAAGAACAACATTAATTCTAGGTCACATTACCAATTCTTAGAGGAGAGATTTTATTAGTCAATATCATTATCTTCTTGCACCTCTTTTTCACTGACAGAATGAGAAGATTGCTAGACGAAGGGAGGAACTTTTAGCAGAACAAAAACAAAAGAAGCAGGAGGTAAGAAAACAAGCTAATAAGAAAGATTTTAAATAGCAGTGTTTGCACTCATACCTTAGAATTTTCTAGAGTTTTTAGTGGCAGAGTTCAGGGCAATGTAGGATAGTAAAAATGTGAGAAACTTCTAGTGTCAAAAATAACTTGATATTTGATATGATGTTTGAATTGTTTCACAAACTCCTGATTCACAAAGGCTAGAAACAATTTTAAAAGGATTCTCAGTATGTGCTCCAATTCACCAAAATACTTAAGAATGTGTTGAATGCATCTAATTTGTAAGGATAAGAGTAGCCCTACTAATGGAAAGTAGGAATGTGCCTTCAGCACCCTGTCAAACCCATGGTTAATCCAGAATAGGAGCATACCAGGATTTCTGCCCAAACTTTATTTCATAGTATACTTATAGATGCATTAATGCACTACTCGACTGCTCATGAAATTCTATCAGCTACACTTCCAGCAAACATGCTTGTTCTTAGCAAAGTCCTGTCAAACTGCAATGCCATGTATGAAGAAACCACTCCTCTGATTAAAACTGCAGTATAGCTCCTCAGTTTTTTAGGCATTCTTGGAACTGGTACAATGTTTCACTGTATGCACTGTATTTTCCTCTGAAATAGATTCTGGAATTTACTGGATTTTTTGCTTACACTAAGGGATACCCTAAAATGAGGTTTTGTTGAATTAATGATTTTTCTAGTTAAAAAAGAGACAAGAATACCAAATGTTCCTTCAAACACCTGTATCATAGATATCAAACAACAAAATGCTTTGCCTTTATAGGCCTTAGCAAGTAACAAGTATTCTGAAGCCTCTGAGGAGGAAGATGAGAATGAAGATGAATATGTTAAAGGTATACTTGAAAAAGAGTTTGAAGAAGAAGAAGAAGAAGAAGAAGAAGAGGCTGAAGAGGAAGAGGAAACTGATGCTGCTGACCGCATACAAAATGAAATTACAGAAAAGTTTGATTCAGAAACAGAGACATTACAAAGTGTACAGGTACTGAGAGCACTGCTTATTTTGTTAAATTACATGATCACATGATGTAAGAAGAGTTTTCAGTTTTATTTAAACATCAAAGAGTTATAGTACCTAAGCAACCATGCTGCTGTCCTCGTGATCTAAATGTGTGAGCGAGATGAAGGCTGTACTGAGAAGGTATAGAGTTTGAAGACTTACTGCCACATCTAAGGCAGTAAGTAGATTGGTGACATTTGTTTGCTGTGTACTAACGAACTTCCAGAGGCAATGAATCATGATTTAGAAGAAACACTGTCCACTGACAAGAAAGTTTAAAAAAGCAGATAATTACATAGTATTGTGGTAGCATGGGATGTAACACAGACTGTAGTTTAAACTTCATTCAGTGGGCAGCATGACCAATTCTCATCTCAAGTCAAAATTTGCTGAGTTCTGGTGACTGAGAACATGCTCAAGAAATCCTTGATAGTTCACAGAAGTCTTGCTTTCAGTTTTTACTAAAAATCTGATTGTGCTTATGATTCTAATATTTCATTATGTTTTCATAACCAGGAAGAACTCGAGAAGTTGTTAATACCAGAGATCAAGATCAGTGGAGGACGGAAGCCTCACATTGTGTCCTACCAAATGTACACCAAGCTGAAAGCTCTAATGGAAAACCGAGGAAGCATTTTTGAGAAATGCTACCCAATAAGTTTGCCACTTGCACAGAAGATGCTAGTTTTCTCATATAAATTCCCAAGTGCTTTTGGTCAGTGGGATCCAATCAAGGTAATGTTCTTAAATGGATGAAGAATATTTCCAAGAGCTAACAGTTTTTTCAAATGGACTTTACATTTAAAAAGATGTTATCAGCCAGTAGCAACTGATACTGAAAATATTTAATGAAATCTACATTGCTGAATCATAGAATTATGGAATTTTAGGGGTTGGAATGGACCTTACAGATCATCTAATCCCAAACCCCCTGCCATGGGCAGGGACACCTCCCACCAGACCAGGTTGCTCAAGGCTTCATCCAACCTGGCTGTGAACACTGCCAGGGTTGGGGCATCCACAGCCTCCCTGGGCAACCTGTGCCAGTGTCTCACCACTCTCACAGTGAAAAACCTTTTCCTAATATCTAACCTAAATTTCCCCTCTTTCAATTGGTACCCATTGCCCCTTGTCCTGTCAGTGCAGTTCCTAACAAAGAGTCCCTCTCTGGCTTCCCTGTAGCCCCTTCAGATACTGGAAAGTTGCCATGAGGTCTCCACAAAATCTTCTCTTCTCCAGGCTGAGCAGCCCCAACTTCCTCAGCCTGTCTCCATAGGGAGATAGATGCTCCAGTCCTCTTAGCAACTTTGTGGCCTCCCCTGGACCTGCTCCAACAGTTCCACATCCTCCTTACGTTGACACCAGAACTGCACACAGTAATCCAGGTGGGGTCTCCTGAGAGCAGAGTAGAGGGGCAGAATCACCTCCTTTGACCTGCTGCCCACACTCCTTTTGATGCAGCCCAGGATTTGGTTGGCTTTCTGGGTTGTGAGCTCACACTGCTGGATCACTGAGAGTTTCTTGTCAACCATCACCCCCGAGTCTTTCCCCATTTCACCATCAAAATGACAACACTGAATATATACAAAATACAGCAAGCATTGATGATAGAAGGTGTTCGTTTTTCAGTGTTACAGCTAACTGAAGGCTGAGAGGCATGTAGTAAATCTGTAACACTATCTTTGCTGACACAATTAAAAGCAGCATTGAATCAGAAAGAAACGAATAATTCTTGATGATACACAAAAAACAGGAGAACAGAGAAAGTATTAAAGCCCTCCAGACATAGTGAAAGCAAACTGAAAGGATTTGGGGTATGAACCAAAGTAAACTTTTGGTTTACTTTTTTGCCACTGCTAGGGCACCAACCCTAGTTCGGTGTATGTAATTCATCAGCAATAATTCTTTGTTGTCAAAGTTTACAAATCTTGAAAAGCAACAAATCTATTTCCATAGCATTTTACTAGAGATCTGGAAAGCTGAGGTCAGAAAGTTCTCCTGTCTATCCCAAAAAGTGGGCTGATCCAGTTTTATAGATCACAAGTGAAATATTAGCAGGTATATTTTTTGCTTTCATGCTAGAAATAAAAAGCAGGTTGGATTGCGAGTCAATTAAAAACAAAAAGGAGGAATCATTAACAAAGTCCAGTGAATAACATACAAAAAGCAAGAAAGTCCTGAAAGAAACATATTTTGGCCTTCATCTTACTATGCCAATTAATCAAGCAACTTTTATTCCCTTTTATATAGTCATCATGTTGGGTCTTCACCTTGTCCAGATCATGTCTGTCTCTCTTCAACCTTAGGATCAGAATTGCCTTTTTCATGGCTGCATCAGATTGACATCCAATAATCTAGGGACATATTAATAGAAGCAGATAATTCTTCTCATTTCCAACTACTGAACCACAGTTTATGTGTTTAATTCTAATTAGTCCTACTCTCTAGTCCTTCCACTTTGTTCTATTAGATTTCAGTACATTTTTGTCATTCCATTTATCCAGTTCATTCATTTAACCAACCAAAAAGTACAATTCAGTTAGAAGAAAGAAGTCAGAGGAAGCTATTAGATAAAATCAGAATGATGTGCTAACAGTGAAAATGTACAAGCCGATAATGATGAAAGGGAAACAGGATCATTCTGGGGGTATTTAGGATAGAATAGAAATGATGAAATTGATTACAGACTGGAAGTTCTGGGGTAGAAAGGCAGATAGAGTATATGCCAAATACTTTTAGATTAAATCTGGGGGGGAGGGAAGTAGCTATGCAACTGATTAGATAAGCAGAGAACAAAACTTATGAGCTGAGGGAGGAATGGAAGCAGACATGCAATAAAACAGACTCCTGACATCTCATAAATTGAGGGCAAGCACCCTGAAATTACTTGATGCAGGAATAGGAGCCTAAGAATACAAGAAGAGTCTGGCAAGGCAATGCCACACATTATAACAGTCCCATCTCTTACTGTAATAACCAAATCAACTTTACTGACTCCTTCAAAGAATACTAAAAGATTTGCGAGGTATGATTTCCCTCTACAAAGAGTTGAGTTGGCTCTTCCCTTTATTTGGTATGTATGCATGTAACTACTGGGGTTTTTTCCTTAATATATTTCAATTTGGTCAATGCAGAGTCAGATTTACTGGACTGTGTTTGCCATGATCCACCTGGGAGCCTTTTAAAAATATTGTCACTTTCTCCACCTTCCTTTTTTTTGGAAGGAAGAACAACGTAAGCAATGGGTTACACATTCCTCAGTAAGAATTTCACTTCTGGGTCCCTTTAAAACTGTAAGATGAATGACACCTGTTCTGGGCAATTTTTTTTACAGATGTCAACATTTTGTTTTAAAACATCTTTTATTGACACTTTAAGGATGTTCCTCCAAGAAGGGCTGCAACAGGGATACAGAATCATACAATCATGGAATTTTAGGGGTTGGAATGGACCTTACAGATCATCTAATCCCAACCCCTGCCCTGGGCAGGGACACCTCCCACCAGAGCAGGTTGCTCAAGGCTTCATCCAGCCTGGCTTTGAACACTGCCAGGGTTGGGGCATCCACAGCCTCCCTGGGCAACCTGTGCCAGTGTCTCACCACCCTCACAGACTAAGAACAGTGATACAAGGAATTAATTTAGCATTACTGCAGTGATCATTTCAGCCAAGTGCTTCTCTTACCTCTCAATGATCGATGAACACTATAGACTCAGTGGCTGTCTTATGTGTTTGAAAACATTTCATCAGCAGTGCATGTATTTTACCAGAAACTGTTTTGGCTTATCTCGTTGTGGTTTTACCCTTGACCATAATGTAAGTATTGATATTCTTTTGTTTTCTTCATTTGTACCTGACTTCTGCTGAGTATAATATTCTCAGTGTATCTTCTATTGTCAGGCAGGTAAGTGGGTTTAATTCACTGAGAAATAAAATTATTTCCTCTATTCTTTGAAAATTAGAAGATGTAATATGTTAAGCCTCTCTGACTACAATATCTTGATGGACATAAAGTGTTACGGTACCACCTACTGGAAATAGTGAGTATTCTTTCTGTCTTCAATGTTTGATTCATCTTTTTGTACAAGAATTGTATGGAAGTTTCTCAGATTTGTCCATGTGTATGAATTTCAGAATGTTTTGATGGTTTGTTTCATATGGTTGGTACCTGCCTATAAAGCCACTTCTCTGGGCCAGAGGAGAAGAGGTTTTGTCAAACCTAATCAACTGCTTCCCATTTTGTATATGCTACAGCTAAGCAAAGGAGAGGTGATCAGGCCACAGCAAAGCCATGAGAACAGAGTCTTCCCTGTAATCCATCGACAATATATTTATTTTTTTTCAAGTGAAGAAAATAAAGAAATATTTATGAACAATCCCATCAAATATATTCGTCAGCCAAAACCTAAACCATCTGTGCCAGTCAAGATTGCAATTGTGGGACCTCCAAAATCTGGAAAGACTACAGGTAGGAGCCAGTTCTCTATAAAGCAAAACCTTATTTCATCACTGAAACTCTCTGTCTTTACTGCTATTAAAAAATCACAAACTATTAATATTGCTGGTCTTTCTGCATTGCTTGCTGGGCATAGATTCTTTTAGTGACATTCTCTAGCATCTCATTTGTCAGTCAGATTGTCCATCTGAATTTCATCCTGGGTTCTTAAGACGTTAGTGACCTGGACTGGCACTTAGAACAACCAGACATCCACTATATTCACTCCTTGTATTATTTCTGATTGTTTTCTAATTGTTTCTTATTTCTTTCAGTCAATATGATCTAATGTAAAATGGAGAAATATTCCTAGGATCAAGGACTAGGACCCCAAACTCTCCATTCCCCAGTCTGTTTCCAAGTTTCCATTTTAAATAACCCCATGATTTCCATCTTTCTCCCCTCTCCTTCTTCCTCCATGACTGTCACTCCATATGTCTCTGCCTTTAACTGGAAGAGGAGAAAATTCAGCTTACACCATAGTTTAATGATTAGAACAGGGTATTAGAAAAAGAGGAGACAGGTTCAAATCATCTCATATTAAGGAGGAATTTTTAACCATCTTTCCCAATTTCTGGATAATGATCCAACTGCTAGGCTGTTCTGTAAAAGGGGCAGCCATGGAAGTATATTTTCTAAGACATTTTGTAATAATACTGACTGTTGCTGCTGAGGTTTGTGCTGAACTGAGCAGTGTTAGTGCACTGACAATGCTTTGTACATATGCAAAGCTCTGGGCCTTTCAGGGACCTAAGCAGGGCTTGGTACCCACTCACCGAGATTATGCAGTGGAAAGGATCCTGGGAAGGAGCTGAACAGTTAGCTGCTAGAAGCAAGGACATATTTTAACATACAGGCTGTGATGCCGCTTATGTTTCAAAATGTTTTGCAGTTGCCAAGAAACTTGCAAGTGTGTTTGGGTTACTGCGCCTGAGCCTGGGAGATGCCCTAAGGCTGGTGATTAACACCCAGCCCCAGAGTGAGCTGGCACTCACGGTCAAGATGCACCTTCACAAAGGGCTGACTGTACCTGATGAATTGGCCATCCAGGCTCTCGATGTGGCTCTGCTAAATCACGTGTGCAATACCTCCGGGTAAGAGTCTTGTTTGGGTTTGGGGTTTTTTTTCAAGACATGCCAGTCCCTTCCTGGGCATGGATTTCCACGTTATCACTGGAAAACAAGTTCACTAAAACACATCAGTGGTTTCTGCATTAAGAAAATCATCTGTACCAAATAAGGTTCTTCACATTACTCTGGGAAATGAGACTGAAGCATAATTTTCTGCAATTTTCAAGTACGTATATTGCGGTAAATCCAAGCAATGTGCTTTATGGTAGTTACCTTTTTTCAGTCAATAAGCCAATATTTTCTATAATCCTTTGAGAACTACCATTTTGTCTCTCTTACACCAACTCCAGAACCAAATTGGCCACATCTGATTTTCTATGATCATGCACTCTGGTTCAATACTCAACTTTTTTTCTGGTTTTGTTAACAACTGAAGTTATCAAGGGGGAACTGAAGACAGTGAGTGTTTCCACCTCATTCATATGTGAGCCTGATTTCCTAGGCTCTTTCTCCACCACCAAAACACCTTTGAGACTGGGTGGACTTTAAAAGCTTATGACCATGATTTCATGACATTCAACTCCTCTCCCCAAAAAGGAGAATTGTTACAGAGAAAGGCATTTCTGGAATAATCCCTGAAAGTTATTTGAGTTTGAGATCATATTTCTTTCAACTTTTCCCTCATGTTAAATACTGGAATGTTGTTTCAGTATATTTTGTTGCATTTGCCTAATATGTGAAAAGCATTTCTTCTTCAACATGATTTTAAAAACTCTTCAAGTACTGTAGTAAATCATTTTACTTACCACTTTGAAAACTGCTCCTCCAAGTCCATTTGGAGATTTCTCGTAGATAAAAGTATGTTTCTGAATGATTGATGTGTCACAATTTTAAAGTCTGCCATTTTTATGAGTCAGAGCCACCCACTTACACTCCAAAACCTTTTGCCCTCTGTGCATTTCCTTTTCTCTTTACTATTTCTTATTCTACCTACCTGATGTTTTTAAAATTTGATTACACACTGTAAGGAGTGAAGTCTGTGTCTCTTGAGTCAGAGCAGCAATGACTGCATGGTATGGGTGTAGACTTTTGTCTCCATGGAGAATGTACTAGGAATATACATAGCCTTAATGGTCAATATGACCCAACTTCTTAGGAAAACTGTTTTTCTGTTTCTGTTTGTATGCAGAGTTGTAATTGATGGATATCCTCTAACAAGAAAACAAGTAAACCTCTTGGAATCAGCTAAGATAATTCCAGTGAAAATCTTCGAATTGGAAATGGATACAAAGGAAGTGTTCAGAAGAGCACTGCTGGATAAGGAAAGCACAAATAGGTAGTGATGCTCCCTGAGAGAAATACCTTCTTCCTACATGATATTGTAATTTCTCTATTTATGTGCCTCAGTGCTATACCCAGAGAGGCTGTATCTAAGCTGGAGCATAACTCAGCTGTCTCTGAACTCCACATATGAAAAGCCATGGGAACCAGTCTCTTTACATTCTAGTGCTTTGATTTCCATAGACCAGAAACAGGGCCCTCAAGTGTTTGTGGCATGCTCAGGCCAGACCCCTGCCTGCCTGAGATCACAAATGTGCAGTGCTGTGCACCCACTGCTTAGTTAAACTGGATTAATGACACTGTACATCAGAAATGTTACCAGTTCTCTCTGCTGCTCAAGTGTATTTTTCATCAATTCAATTCTTATCCTCATAAGAGAAATTGATACTCCATCTAATAAGGTCTCTTGTAAGTCTTAATTGGAGTTCTTTTTACAGTATGGAAACAGAATATTTTAGTAACACACAATTCATGAGTTACTTATCTAAACCTTTCAATTCAGTTCACTCCCTTCTTTGGTTTTCTGAGGAGACAAATATTCTGTTTAAAGAGCTGCTGGTTGTTCTTGAGGAAGAGCAGTAAGTAGTTTACAAGCAGACAGAGAATGAAAAAGAACAGAACATTCACCTTAAAATTAAATTGTATAAGAACCTGGTTCTCATTAGAAGTGTTTCTAAGAAGTTCCAGGTAGCTTGGAGCATTATTGCATGTCTCTTTCATTTTGTCTCTTTATCAAGTAATCAGTACAATGCTAAATTGTTTACTGAAAGACTAAAGACAATTTGCATTGCATAAAAATTAAATTAATGATGTCTTTTTGAAAGTATTTACTTTAAACTTAATTTTAAATACCAAACTAATTACATTTCATAGGTTCAAATACAAGTCAAATGTGCAATATCAGGGTACCATTTAATGGTGCTTTGTAGTGTGTGTCAGTTAATATGTGCTGATACATTCCAAATCTTCTACAAAACAATCATTGAGTTGTATTTGGGACAGAAATAGAAAAGGTTTTGTGCTTTGTTTCTGAACATGATCATAACATCATAACATCTTTGTGATCATAAATATGCTGCTTTTCACAGGTAACTGCTAATACTCTTAATAAGAAATGTGTATTTCTCAAATCTGTTCTAGAGTGTCAAATAAGCAGAATTGTGTACAAAGGACTTGGAGTGAACTCCAAGATTTACACATGAATTTACCAAATCTTCAGATTTAAATCAGTGTTATTTTTCACTTTCTTCAGACCTCTCTACCCTGAACACAACAGCTCACAGATTCTAGCTATTAAAAATTCCTGCTATAAGAAGCACATTAAGGACATTAGGACTTACTATATGAAGGAACATCAGAACTGGTGTGTGATTGATGCTGTTCAGAGCAGGTGGTGGATTTGGAACAAAGTTCAGAAGGAAGTTCAAGTGGTTGCTAAAGAAATCCAGATATACCTGGAAAGAATAAACGAAGGTAAAAGAAAAACAGTTTCCCAGAATGATATTTGTTTCCTTAAGAAACTGCAATATATTGCGTGCATTTCAACCTCAGCTTTCTTTGGATGAGACTAATTCTTGGGCACATGCATATCCTCAAATGCTTCAATCTCATCTGCAGAGATCTTGAAAAGATCTCTTGAGCAGAGTGAAGACAAAACCAACTATGGGACAGTCTGAGTCATCCTCCAAAGAACAGGGTAACAGAAATTGCTGGAGGTACTGAGTCCATGATCCATGGTAGATTCCACAGCATAGGGTGATAAATCACAAAGGGTACCCCAGAGCATACAAGAGGAACCAGGACTTGAAGCTTCACACCATGAGTTGAAGCTTCACACTAGTGTTAGTGGAGGAAAAGGGAAGGAGAGGGAAGACGTTAATTAAAAGTTCAGAATTAAGCCTAAATATGCCATCGGAGTTAATTTATGTGCTTTGGGAAGAAAACCACTTTAGTCTAAAATGACATAGTTCCCACTTGACCTTTTGTGTGTCAGCATTGGTCAGGATTACATTTGCCTTTTAAACAAGCCTGTGCTATTTAAGTAGAATACCTCTGAAGGACAAACAGACTTCCTTATCTTATATCCACACTTTGGTTTTGATTTGTGCAGCTCTGTGGCTGCACCCTTCTTAAAAACCAGAGTCATAAGCAAAAGCATTAAAATACATTTAACTTTTTCACATCAGGCTTGAAAAGCACAATTTTTAAATGGTTTGGGTTTGAGATGACATTTTATTCAAGGTTTTTAATATATTTCATCCAAATAGACGGTAGCAGTGGCAAGGTATGGATGAGTGAAGGGGAGGCTTTCATCACACCTGGTACTCATTTTCACCAATGTAAAGAAAGAAAATAATAGCTGAAATGTGTCTCAGTAACACAAAGGAGTAAAACAGTAAATCATAAATAAAACTGACTCAGGGAACATAGACTAATAAGCTGAGCATGCAGTGTATCCCATAATTAGCAATTAACAATCCTTATAATTCTTAACTGCTACAAAAATGTTGTTAAAATTAATTGGTAAAATGGGTTGCAACTTCATTTTAATATTAATCCACAAAAAATTGCTCATTTAGTTCTCATTGTTTCCTATCCCTTTCAAATGATGAATTACCTTCTAAACTGCAATATTTCTGAGTAGAATTGTTTGATGTTTCTGTGTCTTTCATTAACAAAATATTGTCATTAATTGCCTTTACTGACAGGAAAAGCAGCCAGCATTGCTGATCTCTGCATCACCCCCCAAGAGCTGCAGGACCGGCTGGGGGAGACTGGACAGTACTGCCCTGTCAGCCTCGCAGAGAAGGGTGAACTGGTCGACTGCTCTTTGACCTCCTCTCTGCAGTTTGCTGCAGAATTTCAAGGACAGTATTACAAAATGGCTTCACAAGAAGAACTGGATGTGAGTGTCAGAAAGCACGTTGGGAGGGGATTACGGCAAGAGGGAACATTGTTGGTTAGATCCTTTGATTCCATACAGAAACCAGAAATCTGAAGGCTGAATTACACTGCTGTTGGTAGCATTCAAACTTTTGTCTGTACATTTCTGCTATCAGACATCTAGGCAGACAAAGTGCAGCACAGAGTCCATTAAACCAAAGCTCCTCTTACAATTGTCATAGTTCAAACCTTAGTTTTAAAACAATAATTTCCTCCTTTCTCCATCTGTTTTGGGAAGACTGAGCGTAGAGAGTGGCAATCATAGCAATGGATAGTGATGGATGGTGGGTGGATAGTGATGCCTTAACTGAGAGTGGGTTGTAAAAGAAATTACTTACCCAAGAGCAGCAGCAGTGCCAACACACTAAGTGAGGTATTGTAGAAGTATCTAAATTGCATGAGCCAGCCCTCTGGAGCTGGACTAACAGTCTTACAGTGCTTCTTTCGTTATAAAAACATTCCTTTTTCTACAGAAATTCTTGAGCAGACCAGAGGTTTATGTGTCATCGCTGGCATCTCACCCTCTCCCACCCCCCGACTGGCTACCAAAGAAACTGACTGTGGAAGAAGTGAAGGCTTTACTCCCTGGAAGTGTTGAAATGCAGGGATACTGTCCAGTCACTTACCTAGATGGAAATCAGAGGTACATCCCTGGAGTGTTCATAATCTGAATTAAAGATGATGTGTCCTACATTAATGAAGAACCACCTTCAAAGTACTTTTTAATAGTGTTCAGTGTTTGCACAGGAAAAGCAATTACAATTCTCTATATTGTGCCTGTGGCTTTGGAAATCAATATAAAATCACCTTTTAAAAATTACCTGGCTACAGGTTCTACAAGGATCTGTATTGCCTTGCTGTCTTTGGTGATGAAGATGGCTCAGGTATAGTTTGAATTCTGTCTATCATAAGCCTTCAAAAGTTCAAAGAAATCTCATAAAACCCTAGTAGATGCAAAACTAGAAATTTTTGTAAGAGATCCATAAAGCTCCACCATAAAGTCCCACCAATTTCCCCAGTGTGTAAGAATTTCTCATCAGACTAGAACTGTAATAGTCAATTCTATGCTGTCCCTTCTTAATCTCCTGAACAACTATGACTGGCATTTTAAATGGAGGAGCTCTAAAAAAGCACTATAAAAGCTACTTAACAAGCAGATTTTGAGGCAGGGACTCTCTCAGATTTTGAGCTTTGTAACTGTCATTGATGTAGTGGAAACTTGGATGATCCAGTTGCTACATTTTTGTCATTCCTATACTTCCTAAATTACCAGAAGGCTCCCAGTAGCTCATGAATTTACACTGCACAAACTGTTTTACAATTCCTGTGAATGAATAGTTGTTCTTGCTCCATCTCTTCAGATATGAAGCTTTGGTGCCTGGCAACATCAAGTATGCAGCAAAATATCGAGATAAGGTATATATTTTTGAAAGTGAAGAAAAACTTCAGAAGTTTATGAGGTGAATATACCAATGGCATTATAATCTTTAATCATGTCATGGTTTATACATCTTAAAAGTGCTTACTTTTTATCTGGTTAGGTTACCAGAGAAGTACTGGAATCTGAAGTCTCCACGTAAACTCCCTCCAAACAAGGAGCCAATGCTACTAACTGCACTTCCTTTGGCTGGATACCTGGAACAGGCCAGTTTTTGCTTTTCTGTTTTACAACACGATTTTGTCATGTATAGTATATCCCACTCAGTTTATTTAATTTCTAATGCAATATGAGTCTTACGTTTATTAATGGAATGTTCAACTGAAGATTTTGTGCTTAGAATTGAGAGGAATTTTTTAAAGCTCTAAAATAACAGATATTTGTAGCTTTAATGGAAAAAGTACAGGTAAGACCTTCAGAGGGGGTTAATAAACTACAGTATCATCTGATGGATTTTCCAACTTACTTGGTTATCCTATTTTGCATGATTACATTTTGGTTTGGTTTTTAACACGAGGATAGACAGAAGCTTATCTGGAATCATTTAAGAATAGTTTGTCACATTTTGACAAATGAATAAATAAAAATGATTCATGGTCACTGCCCTCCCTATTTTATACTATTTGCTATCTTCTACTATTCACCAACTTAGGTATCATCCTATGTTGTTAGATCTGAGTGACAGCAGGAAAAGGCTTTGAATGTATTTTTTGTTCAAGATTTTCCTAATGATCTTCTAATACTGTTTTCTTTCTTCAGGGAGTAGCAACCTCTCTAATAAAAGCTCTGCATAAAGTAGGCTGCCTAAAGCCAAAGTTTCCATTCCTAAGTGTAAAAGACACTGCTCTGCTGTTTGTTGCCTGCCACTTGAAAGGTAGAGTATCAAATAATATGCTACAGAAATAAGGAATGATATAAATGAAGTAAATCATCTGATACCACACTGAGAGACAACTGGTGTAGTTTCCTTACGTCCAACTTGGAAAAACACTACTATATACTAATCTCAGTACACACTACCAAGTGTAAGGACCAGGGAGGAAAACAAGGTTAATAGAATAGGGAGATAGGTAAGTGATCTCTCACAAATTGTGGGACTTTAATGATGTTTTGTTACCAACAACCTGATGGCCTTGAAAACATTTCTAGTGTTATATTTGTTATTATTTATCAGGCTCTTTATTTGTGAAATTATCTGGGAAGATCTGAATGTTACTGTGATTTGGTATAACAGTATGTTGATTATTTTTAACTTCTTATTTAATCCACAGTCCAATCAACCTTAGTTTTCCATAACAAAGATAAACACTCCAAAATTAAAATTAGGTGGTTTATACTCAGCCCATAAAATAATGATGAAGTAAAACTTCTCATGGAGCTACCCAAGGTTAGGACTACACCTACACTGAGGAAAGGTGTTCAACCTTTGTCTCCTGTGTTCATAGTTGCTATATTTTAGAAATTTTGTTTGTTTTTTTAGTCCAAGATATCACTTGCAGCTAATAACCTTTAATAGTTTGCTATCAGGCTAAATAGTTCCAGCTTTCTGGATTTCAACATCCTCCCATGCAGCTCTGCTGTAGCTTTGGTCTCATTTCCAGTACTGCTGGAGATTTCTGGAGTGAGACTGACATTTTTTCAGCCCA